CAATTCTAATAAATAATGATGATTAGATATTTTTTTTTTTTTTTACTTTCCTTTCCTACTTTTTTATTTAGTTCCTTTTTAAGGTTTTTCTTACTTTTTGGCACATTTATTCGTATCTTTCTTTTATGGCAAATCATTCTTTATTTTTTCCTCCATTTTTTCATCGAGATCTATTTCTTGCTTTCCATTTACTTTCTCTCTTTCTTTATTTCTTTCTTTTTTATGTTTCCTTTGCTTTCTTTATTTCTCTCTTTCTTTCTCTCTTTTTCTTTCTTTCTTTCTTTCTTTCTTTCTTTCTTTATAAAGCCACAAGTTTCAGGAAGATAGAATATGGAAATTGAAGTTGGTCCTAATAATACTTCATCTCAGGACTTCAGATATTTGAAGCAATATCATTTCACTATGGGAAGTGCTTGGACATACTGCATTTCTTCCTTCCAAATATACACACAAATATGAACTTATTTTATTTCATTGTTTGGGCACCTCGGCGTGGTCTCATGGTTAGCAAGCTTGTCTCGCTAGAACAATTACGACTGAGTAGTGAGTTTGAGCCTCACTGGGTGCTCCATACTTCCGGCCTTGTGCCACATCTAAGCAGCGCTTAGAAAATCGCTACTTTATTTCAGTGTTTCTACTCAATTATTTGTGCAGCTTAATTTGGAAACCTGTGCTTGGTGTTGTTTTTTTTTGCGGGGGGGGTGATTTCTTCGATGTTTGATCGAATGTGTAATAAAAAAACCTTTTTTTTCTTCTTCAGTTGAGTATAGTCTTTATCGCTTCTTATTTGTACACACACACATAAATGTTTAAATAATATTTTGCAGCACACTTAAGAAGATCGCACAACAAATTAGTCTGCCGTGGCACATAGTTGAGAATTACTGGTTTAATGATATGCAATTTGACAGAAATCACCCATAATTCAAAAATCTCTGACTGAAAAAAAATCTGTGCTAAAGGAAAGAAATAATAAAAAAATTTATTTCAGGACTTCAGATATATGAAACAATATCATTTCAATATGGGAAGTTTATGGACACACTGCATTTCTTAATTCCACCAGTTAGGACCTGCCATGCCATTTAATAGTAACAAACCAAAACATTTCATTCATATACCATTGGTGAGAAAAAAGTTCCACTCAAATAAAACAGCCCACAAACCACTGCTCTGTGGAACAGACTCCCAAGAGGATGTTTCCCTGATCACTTTTTGGTCTTAACCTGTTCAAGTCTAGAGTTAACTGTTATCTTCTCCTTCTATCCATATAAACTACCTCTTAATGTAACCCTTTTACCTTGAATGACTCCTGGCCCTTGCACAGGTTGAACCTTACTGTGAAAAAAAAAAAAAAAAATAATGATACACTATACAAGTTTATAAGTTTTCTTTATGTTCAGTTTTGCTGCCTTACTATGTGATTTTAACAAGTTCTGTTCATACCTCATTCAATCATCAGTATAGATTAAAACATCTTATAAAACAAAATGTTTCAATAATTTCTTAATTTATAATTTTTTTCATATTTTGTTCCCTTTTATTCCAGTCTACAGGTAAAAGAATTTTTAAAGTAATTAATGAAGCAATTAAGAAAATATCCTAAATATGATAAACATACATTTGCTTTATATTTATTTAATATCTTCCCATCTACACATGTGCACACACATATATTAAATCATTTCGCCCCAAGCAAGTTGATAATATTACTAGGATGTAATGTGTTATGGGGAGGAAAAGAAACAGCAGACATTAGTGAAGAGAAGTGAGGAAAAAAAATTGTCCTAAGCAATAAGATTCAGGAAGACAGAATATGGGAATTGAAATTGTCTTTAAATTTTTCAAGATTGTTGCTGATATTCTACAAAAAATTGGAAGAGAGTTTCAAAGTCAAGAAGTTTGAGAAAGATATTGTTAGACTACAAATGGCGGTTGCATCTATCTTGTTCCATTACTTGTGATACCTAGTTTGCCTATCTAGTGGCACATTTAAATTCATGCAGTTGAGGCACTAAGGAAAAAAGTTCATCAGAACAATTGCCATGAAAATATTTATAGAAAAGATGGAGGGAAGCTACGTCATGTCGATAAGAAAGTGACTGAAGTTGAGATACCTGCTCAGAATTACATTACAGACTCTTCTTTGAATTTTCTCAAGAATCTTGAAATTTTTAGCATCAAATTGGATATGGCAGTAGTCTCCAATGCCTAGACAAATGGTAGATTTATAAATATGCAAGGTGGTAAACTGATGTAATGAATATGCATACACCTGGGTCCCCTCTCACAGTAATATGATTGGCTGGTGTCAGCCATAAATACAGACTGATATGGAGGTACAGGGACTACGTCTATTGTCTTCGTCTATTGGTCTACGCCTATTGCCTTACCACTACGACGAGGACCAGTCCATTACGGTTACCTGCTAGATTGTCCTACCCGGTTACAGTAATCAACAACCACTTTGCTACTTCGAACAAATATATTCCTTTCCGGGACATATCAAATACCATTTTTACAATTTCTTTCCTTTGAAATTGTTTATTATTCGTTCTATTTTCTTTTATGGCTAATCATTCTTTGTTTCATTCCTTCTCTAATTCTTCATTGAGATCTTTTCTTCTGTATTGCATTCAACCTGTCCTGTCATATTTTTCAAGTTCTCATTGCTCATTATGTGAGAATGTTTCCTGTCATTCTTTCCTTATTACGAGAGTTAATTTGAATAGAAAAATCACATCTGACATTATAACATCTAAAACGAAGACTATTTGACAGAATTTAAGTCCTGCAAAATAATAATTTCCATAAAAATCTGTGAACTGTCAGAAACTTTAGGAAAGATAATTGATAAATGTATTCTTGTTGCCTTGAAAAACAGAGATCGAGCGATAGATAGAAAGAGAGAGGGGAGATTAGAACATAGATAAATTGGAACATAGTAGATAATGAACAGACTGGAATAGATAGATAGATAGATAGATAGATATTAGATAGATAGATAGATTTGCATTATAATACTGAACAGACTCAAAAGATAGAATAGATAGATAGATAATGATAATAGATAGATAGATAAATATAAATTTTTAACAGACTCAGATAGATAGATAGATAATGCGTAGATAGATTTAGATAGATAGAACAGACTAGATAGATTTTAGATAGATTGCTATTTTTGATAGATAGATAGATAGATTCCTCATAATAGATAGATAAACATGGGAACAGACTTAGATAGATAAGATAGATAGATATATATATATTGATATTTAGAAAATTCATGGATAGATAGATTTAATGGATAATGAATTTTATAGATTTATAGATGAATATCACTAGATAGATAGATAGATAGATAATGGAATGGATTTGATAGATAGATAGATAGATAAGATAAATAGATAGATAGATATTTAGCATAAAAACAGAATATGATAGATAGATAGATAGATATTTTGACTCAAAAAAATAGATAGATTTAATAGACTTAGATAGATAGATAGATAGATAGATAGATAGATAGATAGATAGATAGAAAATGTTAAATAGTGAAATGCGAAAATTGAATAGAGAGAACGGAAAAAAGAAAACTGCATTGAAGAATTTGTAAAAGTGAAATACTAGTTTCCAATGTTTCAAAGCCTTGAGACATGGTATCCACAAGACCCCCCCCCATAACTCAAGAACATCTCAGAGAATCTTCACTGTATTCTTCTTATTCTTCTTCTTCTTCTTCTTATTATTATTATTATTATTATTATTATTATTATGTCTGGCATGTACTTGGTATACCTTTATCAGACTTGGTGACATGATTGGTGTATCGTTTCGTATGTGTAACCTAGCTTTTCTTTGTTGACGTCCTGCTATTTTGTATAATAGACTTCAGAGGTAGTCTTTAGATGAGTAGATGAAATACATTTTGTGTTCAAGGTCAATAAAATCTACGATATTTTTTTTTGTCGAGGGAGGGGGCGTTTATTATATCTACACTTTTAGATAACGAACAGGTTAATCCGATACATAAATAGATATGAACAGACTGCGATAGATAGATAGATAGATAGATAGATAGATAGATAGATAGATAGATAGATAGATATGAACAGACTCAAAAGATAGATAGATAGGAACAGACTTAGATAGATAGATAGATATAACAGACTGAGATAGATAGATAGATAGATAGATAGATAGATAGATAGATAGATAGATATGAACAGGCTGTCTGCGTGCATCTGTATGTGTTTGTGTGCGTATGTGTGCGTGCTTGCGTGTGTACGTGTGAATATGGGGGAAAATATCACCAAATAAATTATTTTAAATGATTCTAATAACATCAGATGTTACAAACAGACATTCATTTTTTTTTTAATTTTACCGAAATCGATTGGTTAAAGAAAAGAAATTATTGCGAACATTTTGGCTTGCGTAATGAAATCTGACATAGATAGATAGATAAATAGATAGATAGATAGATAGATAGATAGATAGATAGATAGATAATATATGAACAAATTTGAGATAGATAGATAGATAGATAGATAGATATGAACAGGCTGAGATAGATAGATAGATAGATAGATAGATAGATAGATAGATGAATAGAATTTTATGAACAGGCTGACATAGATAGATAGATAGATAGATAGATAGATAGATAGATAGATAGATAGTCAGATAGATAATAGATAGATATGAACAGACTGAGAAAGAAAGAAAGAATGAATGAATGAATGAATGAAGAAAGAAAGAAAGAAAGAAAGAAACAAGCAAAGAAAGAAAGAAAGAAGCAAAGAAAGAAAGAAAGAAAGAATGAATGAATGAATGAATGAATGAAGAAAGAAAGAAAGAAAGAAAAAAGGAAAGAAACAAAGAAAGAAAGAAAGAAGGAAAGAAACAAACGAACAAAGAAAGAAAGAAAGAAAGAAAGAAAGAAGGAAACAAAGAAAGAAGGAAAGAAAGAAACAAACGAACAAAGAAAGAAAGAAAGACTCAAAAGCTCTCAGGGAAACAATATTTTTTTACATTACCAACCTGCGTTTATATTAGTAACACTTTTGGTTCTTGGCCTTAACCATAAACATATTAAATGTCTCTGTGTCTATTCTGATCTCTCAAATTATTTCTATCTTTTAAACATTCTTACTGGTTAAAAAAAAATAGAAGGTTTTTTGGGGTTTTTTTTTTTTTTCATATTTCGCTTCTCATGTCTGGATATCGTTATATAAGAACCAAAGTTTTGCTGCTTATAACATTTCTACTAATAGCCCGGGTAATCGCTCCTACATATATATATATCATCAATATCACGGCTGCTATGGTTGCCTCTGCCGCTGTCACGGTCCTAGAGATACGCTCTGATCATCAACGATTATTTTCTGCAGACTCCTCACTGTGCTTTTTACACTGATTTTATGACAGACACACACACACTCTATTCCTCTATCACTTTCTCACGCAGACACAAACACACACACACTATTTATCTCTCTATTTCTCAAAAAGTATATCTCTACGCACACACACACATACACACACATACACACACACACTCTATATCTTTCTATTTCTCTCTATCTCTCACGCAAACACAAACACGCACACACTCTATTTCTTCTCTCTATTCCTCTATCTCTCTCTCTCACGCACACGCAAGCACACACACTCTCTATCTATCTATCTATCTATCTATCTATCTATCACGCAAACACACACACATCCTCTCTATTTCTCTCTCTATTTCTCTCTCTCTATCTCTCTCACGCACACACACACTTTCTCTCTCTATTTCTCTATGTCTCTCAGCAAACAACACATGCGACACATTTTCATACATGGCTCGCACACAAAATGCCAATTCTTTTATATATATATATATATATATATATATATATATATATATATATATATATATATATTAGAATGAGAGAGAGAGAATAAGATATGTGATATAAAAAAAACAATTTGAAAGAGGCCGTTTGACCAACACAAGGACTGACCAAAATTAACGATAAAAAAAAAATTTGGGTAACTACAGATACAGTTCACTTTCTTCAGAAACAGTCATTCACTCCTGTTGTTTACTTCTACTAACAAGCAGGCACTTTTTTTTCTCCTGATGATGGCCATGCTGGCCGAAACTAGTCGAGGAAACTAATTGAAATAATAAAACAAAAAAAATATTAATATACAACCCAGTGTGTCTGAACATATAAATTTTTTAATATTTTTTATTGTTCACACACACACACACACACACACACACACACACACACACATATATATATATATATATATATATTACATCTGTCTATATTTTTAAGTATGGCTCAGTGGATATAAAGCGTTTGTTGAGCAATCCAAAAATTGACTTGCCTCAAAGAGTTGAGAGTTCAATACCTGGTCAAACTTAGAGTGTTGAGTTTTTTTTTTAAGCGTTTCACCCCAAGCAAGGCGTGAAGCCGCTAGGACGCAAGGGGTTACAGAAGATTTGGAGCGAGATCAGATTGGAGTGATAGAGGAAAGGATGACGAGAAGAATAGTGGATAGATCAAGGCAACTGGATATGTCGATTGACATTACATTTGAACAGCTGGAGATTATAGCTCTCAGGGAAACAGGAATAGGGAAGGGAGTTACACAGGCGAGAGGTGCGAGACCTGAAGCTATTGGAGTAGAAGAGAAGGCTACATTTAGTAGTTTCGACAGTGAAAGGGTGAGAGCGGGATGCCAGCCTTGTGGGGCGCTTGAACTCATGAAGTCTGGGAACCAGCGAATGCAGCTCCTCGGAGCAATTACCATGAAAGTAGTTGCTCAAAGGAATTAACTGGAACTGAGATACCTCCCCCAACCTTCGCGCAAAAGAAAGAAGAAGCATGACACATGGAATTAAAACGATCTAACACACACACACTCTCTCTCTCTCTCTCTATATATATATATATATATATATATATATAATTAAATGATTCGGTTTGAAATTCCGTCGTATATCACCTGAAGAAGGCCGGTGCGTATAGGGAATCGAAACGTTGTGACTATAACAATAAAGATGAGGTCAAGAGTCTGAACGGCATAAATGTATATTATTAATATAGCGTGTTTCAGTTGTTATCCCGTTTTTTTTTGTTCTTAAACCGTGAAACTAATATCAACCGACCTAGATCATAAAAGCCTATTAAAGAACTATACCTCCTGATAGGAATCGAAACTGCATCACTTTTTTCAATCAAAGATTTGCAATGTGGACATAGTAATCAATACACTTACACTGAATGGTGACAATTCCTAGTTCTTCATACCATCTTTTATATGAAACTAACAGCATGGCCCGGCGTTGCCCGTGCTTGATTCAAAAATCGTACGACTCATACAATCAATCACTATCACTTAAAATATTTTTTGCCTTCCTTGCCTTTAAAGGAGTGCCCTTTGTCGTGCTGATGTTGCTACATGTCTTACTTCTTGTCCTATCTCACACTGCGAATTTTTCTAAGCTCTATACTAAACATTAAATCTGTTACGAAAAAAAAACTAAACAAAATGAACACAAAACGATCAGCTTTAAAAAAAGGACTCGTAACTGGAAAAACCGAATGAAAAAAGAATGTTAACAACAAATACTTTTTCACACCCAACCCAGTTCTGCGGAATCAGAATCAACGTTGAGTTTAAACAAGCGAATGAGCCAATTGGAGTAATGTGCTATGCAGATTTAAATTTTTCCCACTTGTGACGAATTCAGCTATAAGATTTTTTTTGCATGCTAGTTAACATTCGTGTCAGTCAGCTGTTGGCCAATAAAATCTTCCTGCCTATTCGTGGCAGCCAGCAATAGGCTCTCACTCTGGCCAGTACAAAATGGCCGCAAACTACATGAAAACTGCCGTAGAAGCTTGAAAAAATCGATTATTTCCACTATTCGATGGGAGTTGGGAAATGCAAAGTCGGTCTTGGCCTTTCCCGCAAACTTGGAGCATGTGCATGTAAATCTTGGTGCAAATCTGTCGAAAATTGCGGCCGTGCATTCGTTACACACACACACACACACACACACACACACACACACACACACACACACACACACATATCCTGCCTTTTATAGGTAGAGATTTATAGAATATTATTGTTCGTATTATTATTATTATTATTGTTGTTGTTGCAATATACTAACAGCATTAAGTAGAAGCTTATGCAGATTTATTTGACTAATTCAGCTATAGCCGTCCTGGGTAAGACATTAAACTACATCCGCGTCCTGGGTAAGACGATAAACTACATCCGCGTCCTGGGTAAGACGATAAACTACGTCCAGCAGCAAGGCCTCTGATCAGGAGGTTTTCAGGACTGTGGAATCACCTCTTAATTGCTAGTGTTCCACCCTGACCCGGGGTAGTAGCACCTGTTAGGGTCCCAGCTATGAGCAAATAGTTAACTATTACCAGCAATACTTTTTGGAAAATTTTTTTTTACTAGCAATACAATTTTGAAAGAAAAATATTACCAGAAACAGATTTTTGACAAAACAAAATATTACCAGCAATAAAAAATATTGTCGGCATTAAATAACCCATTGAGGTCTTGATATGCCGTAAAACAAAATAAACCAAACCAAACCCATTCAGCTTTAGACCTATATTTATTGTAATGGATAGTTACAATCGAAAAAAAATGTCGATTAAATAATGTGTTTTTATTTATTACCACAAACAAAATTATTATTATTATTATTATTATTATTGTTGTTGTTGTTAAATTCTTTTTTTTTTTGGTGACGTCGCTTATCGGCGAAATATGTTGAGGTTAAATTTTTCCGAACTGTCGGACACGCATACACACACACACACACACACACAAAACCCCTCACCAACACCCACCCCACACACAGACATACTTCTTTGGTGGGCAGATTACCCAGGGGTTGTTTCCCCAGTTATTTGAATCTTAACTGCATCAAGTCTGGTGTCAATCCTTTATCGATCCTATGTATCGTCAGCATCACTCATTTCCTCCTCTTAAGTTCACGCAACATCCCCAAAGTCTTGATTGGCTCTTGGGCCTTTTATTGTATTAGCATTTAGTAAATGTATATACTATAGCAACTTCGAACGTCTCACATGTCGAACAAATCGGTTTCCGAACAGAATATTCGAGATGAAAATGTTTCGGTTATCGAACAAAATTTCGGTTTTCGAAAAACATGACCGAACTTAGACGAACCGAGTTAACCCGAACGGTATTATTTCTGAGTCGGCCGCCATGTTGTATATATTTGTCTGTTGTATTGTTTTTCCTTTTCCTTTTCATTGTTCTGTGCCGTTTTTTTTTTTTATCTTCATTAGCATATAGTCATGGCTCGAAAGAAATACAATCAAAGTCTTGATTGACTTTTGGGCTTTTATTTTATCAACATTTAATGAATGCATAAACAGAGCAACCTCGAACGTCTCACGTGTCGAATGAATCGATTTTCGATGAGAAAATTCAACATGAAAATGCCTCGGTTATCGAACAAAATTTCGGTTCTCGAACAACATCGCCAAAACGAGTTAACCAAAACGCAATCATTTCTGAGTTTACCGCAGTGTTCTAAAATATTCCTCTGTTGTATTGTGCTTTCCTTTTCTAATTTTATTGTACTGTGCCGTTTTTTCTCTTCATTTGCCCTTAGTCATGGCTCCAAAGAAAGCTAACAGGGATACTGGTAAAGGAAAATGAAACGTTGAGAGGTAAAACAATTGTTGATGATATTGTTTATGTGGGAAATCTATAGTCTTGGGTGTTGACAGTGAAAATATTGAAGAGCTGGTGGAAGACCACTGTACTGAGTTTGCCATCAAAAAGCTGGTACAACTTCAAAATGAACAGCAAAAACATTATGTTAAATTTACTTATATTATGCTCCTATTTTCATTTACACTTTTGTGTGTTATTTACTGTTTGAATAAAACGTTTTTATACTAAAATATATAGAGTAAGCATGTAAATAATT